TTCTATTTAATCATATATTTTATAAACTGGAATACAGAAAGTTTTTTTGCATTATATAAATCCTTGCTAATTATGTTCATAACATTACTGCTTTCACTTTGTGAAAACTAACATTGCTACTAACTCTTGCATATAATTGTGTAGCAAAATAATTCAAAGAGAATGGTTGGAGTTTGGTAATGAAGTGTTTTATATATATACATATATACACACACATACATATATACACGTATATACACACACTTTATTTAATTTGATTTATTGATCAACTTGATTTATTCAATTAAAATTAAGCCAGATAACATTATTAGAATACTTCTTAATGACTTGTTAATAATGGCTTATTAATAATTAATGTAAATATTACTTTATAACATGTTTAGGCAAATTAATCATTCCCTCTTCAAGGAGAAAGTTTATATCATCTGGGGCATAACAATTTCAAAAAAATAACAGTATCAACAGGAACTGGTTATGTTCCTATAGAAAAATAGGCCTGAGATGATAGACTGCTAATGAAATATCTTTTTAATATAATAAATGAGTTCTTGAATCACCTACCTTTTTCATTGTTTGGGGCAGCTGTTTTAATTTTGGTCTTTAAAAAAAAAAAAAGCAGCAGCAGTATAGGGTAGTGTTGCCTTATAATTACTGATTTTTCTGTTGATTTTCGTACCAGGGCACCTAGTGTCAGTTCTTGGGAAAGGGCTCGTAACCGCTATAATTTAACTGTTAGAAGCCTTGTCATTTGATTTTTTTCTTTTGGTTGGGTTTAGGGCTTGTGTTTTTAAGAATTTATTGTGAAGAAATTGATCTGTCCCCTTGAACTTAACAGTATTCGTGTGCCTTTTGACAGGAATTAATATTTTCAGTGGAGGGTTTTAAGTCCTATGGCTGGTACCTTACTTTAGTGCAGTTTGCATTTTACTCCATATTTGGCCTAATAGAACTTCAGCTTATTCAGGACAAAAGGAGAAGGTATGTGGCTTGTTTGTTTTTATTTTTTGATAATTAAGTTCACTAGTATTAGTTGAATCTTTTTATTACTTTTTTGGAATACTGAATATGCATGAAATTTATATGTCCTGTTAAAACGTATCTTATAATTATATATTT